TTGAAGAAAACATGTCAACGAAGGATTTTCCACTGAAGCGCGATAGGTGCAAATTTTACACGCTGATTTACGCAAGCTTGTACATCAACAGGAAATCCATACTTGACCCAGCTTTAGGAGAAGGATAAAACGGGATGGCTTTGATGAAGTTTTCTCGTCGGATGGCTCGTCATTCTTCACGGATTAATAACCACGGAATACATTTTCATACTTTGCTGGGCTTTTTTTTTACCAGCGAATTTTTTACTTGAAAGCAGCTAGGTTTTTTTTTTTCAATGCGAGGGAGGTTTGGTTCAAAAGTTTTTTAAATGCATTGAAGTGAAGTTCTTTGGGTTCCAAAGTATCTGTGTCAGAATTCTTCAAAAGGCAGTGACGAAAAAAGCGAACTATTCGTTTCGGATATTCTTCAATATGTAACCCGACAGCAACGTCTTATATCTATTGAAATTTCAGAGTGACCGTAAAAATCGGGTCAATGAACGCATTTCGTCAAGATTAGGCCGGATAATTTCTTGCTCAGCAACGTTTTGCTCAAATTTTGCAAAATGGGACTTTTGCGCGAGAAATAATTTGAATCTACAGTCAAACCTTTTTTACTTGCCCCCGATTAAGCCGACTCCGTTATTGGCAACTGCCAATTTTTTAAACAAATATTCCTTCATTGTAATGCAATTGGAAATCCCATTAAGAGGCCATACGCCAAAATTATTGACAGCTAAAAAATGCTCCTGTGATTCAATTCAAGAGCCCGCGAACAAGGTGTTTCTGACACTCTAGAGTTTATTATTTTTTTTTGCTTATGTTTCTAATGAAGAAACCTAATCGTTCTATGTAATATTACAACCGCGGGGCCCCAACGAAATTAACGAAAACACTTCTTATCCTCAAATTAAAGCTATTATATATTTGATTATAATATTATTTTCCTTTTTTATAACCCTTTGCATCGGTAACTCGTTCAACTGCCAAAAAACTCGCGAACAAATTTTGGTGGCTTATTATTGGGAGTTAACTGTGTAAAAGAGTTTTACGGAAGAATTTTATGCACAGTCAGCTAGGATTAGGTCAGGGTATTTGTTGGGGAAACGCCACGCGAAATCTAGTTATCATATAAAAAACCGCGCCGCACGCCGAACACTAGGAAAACCTTTACATAAAAAACCGCGCGAAAATCTTGATAAGAGTTCCAACCCTCAAAGGGAAGGAACTCACAAAAAACCAGAAATCAATTTCCGTTTTCCTGAATCTACGGAGAACTGCGAAAAACTCACTTGCAATCAAACTTCTGAACAGTGAAGAGTGCTAAAAACCGCGAAATTTACGAATATTGTCTGAGTTCTGTTGAGTGTTGTAATCTCCAAAGTTATTTTGTGTGTTGTTCTTGTGGGACAAATTTCCTGAAATAAATCTCAAATTTAAATTAGGGAAACCAAAAGGTTCCCCGGCCTCGTCCCAGGCTGATTCTGTCTTTTATTTTAACAAAAATTAGAAACTTTACTTTACAAATTTGATCCATTTGTAAAACTAAACAAATTTATGTTGAGGTAAGTTTCTCCCCAACATAAAATTGGTAGCAGAGCGTGGTTTTTTATGTATTGGTTTTTGTAGTGTTTGGCGTGCGGCGCAGTTTTTTATATAATAACCGGACTTTGCGTGGCGTTTCCCCAACAAGTTGCATAGGAACAAGTTCAGCACTTTCCTTATTATGGACCCAACAGACTATTTAATATATATAAGAAATTGAGGACAATCAACTAATGACAAGGTGCTAATTCACTCTATGTGTTCAAATGATCTTGCATTGTTTTAAAACAGGCCAATCTGATTTGGAATGTTACTCTAAAAATAAAATGTACCTCTTTTAATCTTCCGTTATCAGCTTTTTGAATTTCTCCCCAATTTCTCCAGAGATTAATTATCATCAGAAATTGAAGAGGAACCCTGAGCATAACCACACTGTGAATGCCTCTTATCTTCTTAAATATATATTTGCTGGAATTTTTGGAAATTTTGCTTTTTGTGTGGAATTGGAGCTCCATGAATTTTAACTTCAGAAGGTATTTGTGTTTTGATAAGGAGGAATATGTTTTAATTGCATGTACAGATTCTCTGCAAAAAAGGTCATAGTGTAAATTTTTAGCATTCCATCCTCAAGGTTTCAAATTTTCTGCCATTAAATGAAATAAAATTATATTTCACCAAAAAAGTGAAGCACACAGAAGAACTTTTAAAATCTGTCTCTTGCTCTACTGCGCATTCAAGCAACCTTTTCCAAATTTTTTAAAACTGTTTCTTGCCAAATTCAACTTGAGCCAATTTACTTTTCTCCAAACCACTTGCTTTTTATTTTAACTTCAGTGTTGGTTTTTTGTGCAGGTAGTGTTCAATTTTGGAGGTTACATTTTTCATCTTCTGCTTTGCTGATTTTAGAGATTGTGTCTGTCAGGTTATAGCTCTATACATTTTTTGAGAGTTTATCCTCTTGAGGAAAAATTACCCAATCATTAACCTGTACCAGTAAAATTTGACTTATATGCTGCAAATCCAAATAGTTTATTGCAGGAATTGTGAGGTGAAATCATATTTGAAGAGCATATTTCCAAATTCCTAAAAACTCTCTCTGGAGGATCAGAAAACAAAGAATAAGTTGCCAATTTGAATACAATTGAAATCCAGTTGCTTTATTTCTGCATAATTATCCTTCCCTTCCACCACAATACACTATATAATGTATTATTATTTTTCAATGACAAAATCATCAGCAGCATCAATGGAATCTTTTTCCTGTAGTGTGACTTCAGTCAGGTCAACCCAGGCTGGGGAAAAAGAACCTGGAAGCAAATCCTCCATGGTGACCCTTTTGATGGTCTTGGCACCAGAGCGAACCAGAAACACGGGCATTTTTGCATCAAATTCAGCAATTGTTTGCCGACATGCGCCACACGGGGGCACGTAAAATGACAAAAATAAAAGAGAACTCACTCCACAAAATAAAACTGGACATCCTACTTGTATGTTGCATACACCCACCCATCCCCAATATTGAAGACAAAGCACCTGTGTTGTAAATGAATACACCAGTTTTCAGTTCATCAATGGTGGGAAACAAAAGTGCTGAGATTGAAGTCATGCTTTATTTAATTAAGATTCAAATTCAGTATACCCCTCAGTTATTGAACATGATATGGACAATTTGAGACAGGGTCATTTAGAAACAGGGAAAATTTGAGACGGGGACTGTTAAGTATAGGAATATATTTTTACTTGTTAGTTGCTTTTTGGACTCATTCTCAAATCAAATGATAATATTTTGTGCAGGTTACCTCTGTCAATATTTCGCCAATAAGAAAAATTAAAAGGATTCACTGATACGCAAATGTTAGTCTCTTGAATCCTGTGCTCCTGTCACACTAACTTTGTACACTCTTGTGCATTTTCAATTTTTACAGTTTTGTAAAACATCTGCCACTTCCTTAAAATTTGTGAACCATATTTTCTCTTCTGCTTTTTTGTTGTGATGAATTTTCATCCTGTGCCTTCATCTGGGCTTCTGAGTCACTCAAATGAATTGCTTCACCGAAGACAAGTAAGTTAGGTAAAGTCAGCAGAAAACAGGGAACATGCAAAAATTGTTTTTTGTTACAGTGTCAAAAGTCATTGTTGATTTTTCTCTGTCTTTACTGACATTTCTGGAAATTTGATTGTATCTGTGCAACAATTTTGAAAAAGACTTGAAGTCAAACTAATGGATCCTTAAAACTAAACTTCACTGTCAAAAGAAATGAGCTGACTGTAGAAGCAATAAAGAAGGCCATTAATCCGGAAAATTAGAGTGAAGCCTTTTTTTATTGAAAAAGCATGATATAAACAAGTCAAGCATTTTCTCCTTTTATAAGTACAGTAGTTTCATTGACAAAAACATGTTATTTTGCCAGTGAAGTATACGGTAAAATCAGGTTTGTTTAAAAATACTTGTTAGTGAATAAACTTCCATCTGGAACATATTATATGTTTGAATTTTAGAATTACATGCAAAAACATTTGATTTTGTTGCAGTGTCAAAAGTTCTTTTCCCCATTTTGCTTATTTCACAGAATTGGATAACATGCAAACATCTTCTTTATCAATCAACATGGAGAGTACAATTTTGAGTTTGTGCACAAGATTGCATTTTCGAAATTTTAATTTTGTTTTGCATCAGGAACTGGAAACTGAAGAAGTTACATTTTATGTACAATGGCCGAAAATATTGCATAAAAGGTTTAGTGCTGAATGACTATAAAAATCCTCTTGTTGAATATTCTGATGAATAGCTATTTTTCAATACAGTCATGAAATTAATTCTGGATAACCAGAGAAGTTTTCATGCCTGACGATCTATTTTTTAGATTTTCTTTTTCAAGTAATGATCACATACCTTTGACGATTTCCTCATTGTCACATAAAAGGGCAGCACCAACTTGGAATTTGCTGTAAGGGGCATAAGCATTTAATCTTGCCTCCGAAGCTGCAGTGGCCAGTTTTTTGATCAATTCATCTGCAAAATAATTGAATCAGGTTGAGAACGAATTCATGTTTGAAATTTCAGGTTTCTTGTTCTTGAGAATACCTGTGAATTCATCTTCCGGGTTCCCGTGCACCATAATTTTTTTCTATCACTTTTCAACTGGTAAATTTTGTCTACAAATTTCGAAAACAGATTAGACATTAGAGTATTTTCATTATTTTCACATTTTTCAACATAATTCCAGAGAAATGTTCACTGGCAAAAAAGTTTGAACATTTATTTCAGAAAAAATAATGGAATTTTCTGATTTTTAAACTGCAATCTCTAAATTTATGCTAGCTGAGAAAATTCATGAGTTATAACTTTTTTTTAACTTGTAGAGACCTTCAATAAATTCACTGCTGTAAATTAAAAAAGTCAGTTGAAATTATATTATTGTACTACAGTGCAGTACAAAAATCACCTTTTTCTTTGAAATTGGAGATTAATTTCTTTCTTCTCTCATCAGCTTTTTATTGATCGAAATACTGTAGCACAGTTTTGCAGCAAAAATTCCGTCACAATGAGATCGATTAAATAGAAAAACAATCGTCTGCAGAATGTTCTTAAACATCACTTTTCTCTTGAATAATTTTTTTGGCACTGTTGTTCGTATAGTAGATTTTAATTTCGAAATTTCATAAAAGCATGAAGAAACGCGACAGAAAACTTTGAGGGACAGAAAAACCACCGAAAAAAAAAGCATCATCATATCAGAAACTCAAGGAACACAAAGTCGACAGGAGGGATTTGAATACAAAATCACGAATTTTCAACGGTGGGATTACATTCCTCGACGTCGCCTGACCATAGCCAGGGTGACGACAACCGTCGACGTTGGCCTCGACACTGACGTCTGCTTTTCTGCGCACGCAGGAAACAATTTCCACCTTGTCCGATTCTGCAAGTAAGGGTTGCTTTCATGAGTAGCTTCACCTTTCGTTTTTGGTCAAGAGGGAGAGAAAAAAAAGAATGGAATAAAAGGGTTCGTTATAAACGTGGGCTATAGTGACGTGTTTTCCATAAGATAATGGGCGTCAGAAATGTTTTTCTCTTCAAAAATAGACAGCAAAGGTTATCATAATCAATCTTTCTCATGCTTAGTTTATCCCTCTCTTCACAATCCTGTTATTCCTTTCAAGCAAGCGTATTTCATCTTATTCAGCATATTCCCCATAGCCTTTGAATAAGGCAAGGGTTCTTTCCAAAATTATAGCTCCAGATTTTTTTTTTCGGATTAAAGAAAAAAAATTAAATTCTCTTCAAGAAATGCTACAAAATAATCCCATCAGGGATTAATCTCTGATGTCTCAAGTTTTCAAGCAGGAAAGTAGCTTTCTTCCATCCAATTCAGTAAAAACTTTTTAAATGAAAAAAAAACTATGTTTTTCAAAGAAAACATGGGATACAATTATTGACACGAGATCAGCACAGCAATATGCTTTTTTTTGCAATTCAGGCAGACATTATTAATTGGAAAGTAAATGAATTCATCTTTGATGACTAATTTGTATTACAGATTCCTTAAGCATTCTGCAGAGACATTTATGGACTGCTGAAACCTGTAAACAAATAAAAATTTTCAAGCATTACTAGAATAAAATAAACATCATCAGAGATCCAACAAATAGTTTAAAGCAGAACTTGCTATTGAGACCTCCAAATTTGATTTTTTATGAAAAATTTATCAATAATGCCTCAAAATCAATAATTACAATAAAACAGTGTTATCCTAATTCATTGAAGGTTCTATAAAGATAAATTCAAATTTATTCACATAGAATTTGTCTTCAAATTCAATACCTTATCTTGCTTTGTATCCCACTAGTTGTCTTCCCCAAACCATTGTCAGTGGATGACTGGAGCCAGTCCTCAAAAGCTTAATAAATGTATCAAAACTTCAAGTATGAAGGATATTACAATATCTTCATCTGAAAATTTTTCAAGAAAATTGCTCAAACAAAATTTTTGATGCTGAGAATATAATTGAAGAAAAAAAATTTGTTGTAGAGTGTGTAATGATAATAATTTAATCAATGATAACTTGAAGGAATACATTAACTTGATAATTTTCTGATTCTGTAGGCCTGTCTGCAGAGATTTTGCTTGAAAAACTTTTACATGTTTCACTTAAATATAAACAGGAAGCATTTTTTTTCACTCTTTCAGATATTTTCTGTTGAAAGGAAATATTAAGCCATGGACTGGCGGGGGCTGCGAATTTTGGGAGGAACCCCGCATAAATTTATCATAATACTCAAATATTCTTCCTTCCATCATCCAGACTTGACGGTGGTGAATTTCATGAAGACAAGCTAGGGAGCTCCAATTTTGGCAGCACTGCACATAAGAGTCGATCTTGACTGGCATTTTCAAAGTGGAAATCTCCGAATGTCAGTGGAGCAATTTTAAAACACAATGGATGCATGTGCTGAAGACCTTTAGCTTCCTGCACACCCACAAGAATGTTGAATTTTATGCCAAGAAAGAATGTTATTCCACGGCATTGAGTTGGCTTACGGGGTGACACAAAAGAATAAACCAAAATACTGCTTGAGAATCTAATTTTTCAAATAAAACAGAAGACTGGTTTATGTAGAAATTAGACTCAGATTAATTTTATTTTAATTGTTTGGCTGTTAAACTATTGTGCCTTTCTTCTGAACATGGGAAAATTCATTGCAGAAGACTGTTTTGAGTTGTTTTTTTTTACTATGAGAACATTTCTCAAAATTTGTTGCAAAAATACAGTGAGACCCAAAGATGAGGACATAATTGGTGCATCAAGAGTGTCCCTAAGTCAAAATGTCCCTAAGTCAAGTCTCATTTTCCCTTAGACTTACATTATACTGTATAAATTTTAATTGGTGTTTTATGTACAAAAAACTCACCATAATTCCATGAAAATAAAAATTATCTCCCAATTTAAACTGATTCCAATCAAAATATTTCAACACAATATGGACATTTGGGGAATTGAATACTGNCTCAAAATCAATAATTACAATAAAACAGTGTTATCCTAATTCATTGAAGGTTCTATAAAGATAAATTCAAATTTATTCACATAGAATTTGTCTTCAAATTCAATACCTTATCTTGCTTTGTATCCCATTAGTTGTGTTCCCCAAACAATTTCAGTGGACTGGAGCCAGTCCTCAAAAGCTTTTGATCAGTCTGCAAGAAATTTTCTCAAGCATAATAAATGTATCAAAACTTTAAGCATGAAGGATATTACAATATCTTAATCTGAAAATTTTTCAAGAAAATTGCTCAAACAAAATTTTTGTTTAAGCAATTTTCTTGAAAAATTTTCAGATTAAGATATTGTAATATCCTTCATACTTCAATTCAATTCATTTCCAATTCAATTCAATTCAATTCATACTATCCTACAATTCATTTTTGATGCTGAGAATATCATTGAAGAAAAAAATTTGTTGTAGTGTTATAATAATAATTTAATCAATAATAACTTGAAGGAATACATTAACTTGATAATTTTCAGATTCTGTACGCCTGCTGTCTGCAGAGATTTTGCTTGAAAAACTTTTAAATGTTTCAGTTATATATAAACAAAGAACATTTTTGTTGACTCTTTTATGGGTTTTCTGTTGAAAGGAAATATTAAGCCATGGACTGGGGGGCTACGAATTTTGGAAGGAACCACGCATAAATTTATCATAATACTCAAATATTCTTCCTTCCATCATCCAGACTTGACGGTGGTGAATTTCATGAAGACAAGCTAGGGAGCTCCAATTTTGGCAGCACTGCACATAAGAGTCGATCTTGACTGGCATTTTCAAAGTGGAAATCTCCGAATGTCAGTGGAGCAATTTTAAAACACAATGGTTGCATGTGCTGAAGACCTTTAGCTTCCACGCCCACAAGAATGTTGAATTTTATGCCAAGAAAGAATGTTATTCCACGGTAGTTGAGTTGGCTTACGGGGTGACACAAAAAGAATAAACCAAAATACTGCATGAGAATCTAATTTTTCAAATACAACAGAAGACTGGTTTATGTAGAAATTAGACTTGGATTAATTTTATTTGAGTTGTTTGGCTGTTAAACTATTGTGCCTTTCTTCTGAACATGGGAAAATTCATTGCAGAAGACTGTTTTGAGTTTTTTTTTTTTTTTACTAGGAGAACATTTCTCAAAGTTCATTGCAAAAATACAGTGAGACCCCAAGATGCGGACATAATTGGTGCATCAAGAGTGTCTCTAAGTCAAGTCTCATTTTCCCTTATACTTACATTATACTGTATAAATTTAAATTGGTGTTTTATGTACAAAAAACTCACCATAATTCCATGAAAATAAAAATTATCTCCCAATTTAAACTGATTCCAATCAAAATATTTCAACACAATATGGACATTTGGGGAGTTGAATACTGATACCTCTGTAGAGTACATAGAAAGGTTGGCATTCTCTGTAAAAATAAAATTCAAGTGAAAAAAGGAAATCTCTCTCTGCTAGGGGCAATTTTTTTAAATTAGCTAAATGGATTGTAAATTGGTGAGAGAAATGTCCAAGAGCTTATCTATATAAATTTTAGGGTTGGAACTATCTGTTTCTTGTAATTTGGCCTGAAATGTTATTGGGCATGCACGCTAACGTACACTATAATACTTCAAATTCTCAGAACTATTCCCCCTCCTCAAAATCGCAGTGCCAGGCACAACCTGGTACCGGTTACGGTGTCAGGATGTACCTGGCACCGTAGCATCCTCGATGACTACCTTTTCTGTAAATAGCATCCTCGACAACCACTTCTTCAAATTCAAGTGAAAAAAGGAAATCTCTCTCTGCTAGGGGCAATTTTTTTAAATTAGCTAAATGGATTGTAAATTGGTGAGAGAAATGTCCAAGAGCTTATCTATATAAATTTTAGGGTTGGAACTATCGGTTTCTTGTAATTTGGCCTGAAATGTATTTGCAATTCTATCACAAAATGTCCCTACATCAAGTCAGTGTCCTCATGTTGGGCCATTTTTCTTAATTTTTCATTATAAAATAAGTTTCCCTACGTCAAACTGTCCACAGGTCAAGGTGTCCACATGTGGGGGTCTCACTGTACCTCAGACTTAGACCTCGTAGGCAATTTACTGTACATATATTCACATGACAATTCATAATTCATTTCAACAAATAATCTTTTGTTTGCTTGTGAAGCTCACTTCTGATAACAAGCAGATTGCATTCCTGTGTTACTGACATACGCTATACTTTCAATAAGCACAGATAAATTTGATAAATGTCCCCTTTTTTGGCAAAGGAAGCACACAGTATGGTTCTCTTATGAAAATGAAGCCCATTAATCAACATTTCTAAGCAGCATCATGAAGTTTTGATTTTCTGCTCATTCAGGCTTTGTTTCTCATTTGTTCCCAAAATACATTATTACAAAAAACAACCAACAAAATGAAAAGCTCTAGAAGATTACGTTGTAATACACATTTCTAATGACATTTATGCTTAAATTATTGAAAAAATATCTTCAGGAATCGAAAATTTAGTAGTTCAGGTTCTTTTACAAATGCTGTACTGAAGTTCAGTCAATATTTGACAATTTTCGAATTTCTTTTGCTTGTTGTAGGAAGCCCAACCTGCCTTGTGTCAATATAGTGAGAACTTTTAAATGTCAATTAGATAAGTTTTCCAAAGCAGATTTTCTCAGCAGGGACATTTCTGATATTATATGTACTCCTGATCCAAATGGCTTTGTAGAAATACTTAAATGAATTACAGGTGGACTCTCTCCATGGACAAAATTCGAAGGAACAGAAAAAACAATTTTGTAGGGAGAATTTTTTGTTGGAGAACCTTTTATAACATGGGGAAAGAACTTTACTGGACCACCAAACGTTTTCTAGATAAAATTGATAGATAAATTTGTTGTACACAAGAGTCCATCTGTAGTTTTACAAAGTTTCATTTTAAAAATCAACCTCCTTTACGCATTCGTATTTTTCATTACTTGTATGCATGGAATAATTTCAAAGATTATTGATTGGTTTTGAAGCGAGACAATCAAAACTTCATCAATTAGTTCCTGAAAATCCATTCATGTTCATCCTAGACAGGACTGTTGTGCATCAAAGACCATTCACAGCTGTCAAATAAAATATCCTTAGAAATAATGACACGAATAGCAGGTAGACAAGGTTCTCAAAGACTATCTGAGAACAAAACAAAAAAATACTCACCATGAGACCAACACTGTACAAAATAAAATCAATGAAACACAGGCACCTGAGTTTTCACACACATGTTCACCCAGAGGTCTTTTTTTCCACCTCAATGCTCCAATGAAAAATAGGTTCACCCTGCAAATTTCACTTCTGCACAAAAAAAAAAAAGTGGGGAAAAAATCATCCCCGTCTCAGTTCACTCTCGAAACACAACAGCTCTACAACGCCCCCATTTCTTTCTGGACGGGGGTGATAAAAACCCGCCACTTCATCCCCACACCAGAAGAAAAAGGAAGGAAAAGAAATCTCACTGCCAAACGGAAACACATTTTCCTTTTCGATCTGCGCCAATATCTTTCCCCAACCTCTTCTTTCTTTGAACCACAAACACACCCTTCTGCGCACGTACACTCAGCAAAAAGAAACCGCACACACTTTGGCAAGACTGCGACAAAAAAAAAAAAACGATCTTCTCGCCCCCACCAACCAACTTTATGCCACTCGTTCCTGACTAGACACTCGGCGAAAACATTTCTCTTTTTTCAATATCGAGCCTTTCACTGCTTGTTTTCCCTTTTTTTCTTCCAGTTTCCCGAAGACGGAGAAAAAATTGAATAGAAAGGTGACTTCGTATCCGCGAATAGCATGTCGATAAAAAACTGCGACGTGATATGAAATTTCGCACAAAAAGAACCGGAATGCTGGTCCGAAAACTTTTTCCTTCATTCGTTGGCAAGATAATCTGAACAAAAAAAAAACGCCTCCTGTTCGCAGGGAAAAAATCCGCGGATAGTCGAGGCATCTATCAAGAACCTTGAAAAGATCATTCTTTCGAGTAAACCCGAAACGGAATCCTCGACAACAAAAAACGCCGAAATTTGCATGATGAAAAAAGCTCTTCGACAAGAAAGTGATGGAGAAAATTCAAGAGATTTTTTCTCTCCCCCCACCGACACAATAAAAAATTACCTCAAGCTCGTCAAAGGCAGACTAGGGGCATATTTCGACCACTTTACAAAAAAAAATCACTGCTTTAATACTTCAGTGATGACAAGATGTCGCACCTTTTCAACTTGACTGCCACTTTGCAGAAAAAGAAACAAAAAGATTCGGAACGCTTGTTGCCAGGAATACATAAGAAAAATAGAGATTCCTCATGGCAAAACAAGACTGACACACAAAAAAAAATGTTCAACCCGGTTTTCAAAGCTCCCAGAACAAAAACTTTCGAATTTCGGCTTAATGATAAGAGGAGAAAATGATAACGCGAATGAATTCTGCACGGAGAGAAAAAACGAAGTCCAAATTTTCAGCCAAGATTGGGACTTTTGGCCAGAGATGGGCTCCGGAGGTAGAATTTAGGACCAGGTGTCGCTGATGACGGAGACTGCTTTGGCGAGCTAGTGGTTATCTCCCAGGAAAACTCCAACGGGGCAGATGTCGCTGGTGCAGTGTGAACTTTGTGAAGATTCGTTTTCAGCCGGGTTTTCAAATACTGGTCGTACTCCAAGAGCTGCCCCAAGAAGTTGAAATTCGGCGCAACAACGGCTCTCTTGGATTTCACATATCTAGAAGAATATAAATTCCAAAATTATTCCAGAATTCGTTTGAGTGACACCTACATGACACTCCCAGAATATAAACTTCCCCAGACCTCTCTCAAAAATATATGTCCAGACAGAAAAAATTCTTCTGGGGAAAAATCCCAAATTTGAGAATTTTAAATGCGATTTCATAACTGAAATGCATGGTTCAATCTAAGAGCTTATAATTCACCTTTGCACCAATATGAAAATTCTTCCCTTCTGGTACTTGAATATGTGTGATTTTGTGCTATAAAATGTTTCAGCTACATTATTCATATGCTGTTCTGTGACAGAATTAATTGCTTCTCTGTGCTTCGTTTTTTCAGTTGCTTGATTGTTAGAAAGGTCTATTTTATCTCTACTTTCAACATTGAAAAAATTAAATTTTATTTTCACCTAACCAAATTCTCTGGATGTGAAGCACTTCTATATTTGTTTCCATCAGTGCTACTTCCATATAATGCTGAAAAAAAATTCTCGGCACATGTAAGATACAGGAATATCTCTTTCTGATCATAAAGTAATTGATAATCTTTAATTTTTTATATTCAATGCTGAATTGTCTTTTGGTATTATGGAATGAATTAAAGTCTTTCTCATTGAAGTATACAGTAAAATAAAATTTGGTTAACAAATTTTTGTATGGAACCAATTAAGTTTGTTAACCAAGGGTCCATCGCATCATTCTTTCCTCACTTGATATTTATGGAAATTTTCGAAAAAACTCTTTTGAGAACTGACCAGAGCAATCCAAGATTCCGAACAATTTCATCTAGTCAAAATAGATGTCGCTTCCAACACAACGAAACTCAATCCCGATTCCTCGTTCAAGTTACCCAAACTACACTCTCTTCCGGTCCAAAGGAGACTATAAATAACCTCCTATGTCCCTCAAGGTAATGACTTTTTCCCCCCGGGGGATCGAAAAGGGGTTCGAAACTCAATCGCACCTGAAGGCCTCTTCAGAAGACAAGTGGAGTCTGTCCATGACATAGCCAATAACGAGGGTTGGAGATCTGGAGATGCCTGCAAAGCAGTGCACCAGCACGTTGCCTCCCACTTCTTGCACCATATCTGCGAAAAAATACAACTCGTGATGAAACTTTTTCGCCAATTTTTTTTTTCGAAATTACGAGGGAATGTTTCGAAAGTTTTGGCTGTATCTTTGAAAATTCAGCCATTTTGGCATAAATGTGTCGAGACAGATTCCGTCAAATGACTACGAGATCAGAAAGAAAACAAAAGCATGAATATAGCTCATAAGAATTCAGAAAGGCTGCTAACAAATGAACTTCCTGATGAAACTTTCTATCAAATTAAAAAAAATAAAAATAAGAGAAAATGGTCCAAAAGTTTTGAATGCACAATATGAGTATTTTAAAAATGCAGTCATTTTCGTATGAAGTGTCGGATAGAATCCTCAAAATTATTACGAGATCAATAACAAAAATAATTACTTGTGCCCATCATTAAAATTCGGTCTGGCAGCGAAAAAAAATAAACTCAAGGAGCTTTTTGTCAGTTTTTCTCCAAATTTTTTTTTTTTTTTTTGCAGATTTCTTGTCAAGAGAAACCAACAAGTTTCAATGGGACTGATTGAAAAATTTGACACTTCCGTCGGGATAAAATACAGTATTTTACCTATGAAATCTACTTTCACCTTGTAAGAGGAAGAACATCACTTCATAAATTTTGTAGTTTACCTCGTCAAAGTTAAAATCAAAATCTCATTGTATGAATGAAATATTTCCTCGCCAAAACTACGCATTCATAAAAAACGGGATGCCTCAGACCTCAAGTTAAAATTGTTTACCTTGAAAATTTGATTTTTTGTAAATACAGTACAGTATTACATACACGAGGTTACGTGTACAGTACAATTTTTCATTTCATTTCGAAAGATGCTATTTCACATAGAACAAATACAGAATAATCTTGAAAAATCATGCCTTCATGCGCAAAAACGTTGTCACCCCTCTTCAATAATCAAAAATGAAACATAATCGTAAAACACGTTTAATTTGCATCCATTCTCGAAATTTCTTACACATCAGACGCAAAAAAAATAAAAATGAACTCACCAAGAAATTCGAAGGCTTGAAGGAAATGAGGCAGAAGCTTTTCGCTCGGAGAATCGTGCACAGGGATCCTGAGGAAATGACTGTCTTGAACACCAGCCGGTTTCGGGATCTGCAGGCTCA